TTCCTTCTTTCTTCCTTCTTTCTTCCTTCTTTCTTCCTTCTTTCTTCTTCTTTCTTCTTCTTTCTTCTTCTTTCTTCTTCTTTCTTCTCCTTTCTTCTCTTTCTTCTTCTTCTTCTTCTTCTTCTTCTTCTTCTTGGTCCTTCTTCGTCCCTCCCTGGACATCCCGCCACTGTGGCCCCACACTGCCGGCCTTCTGGGCGGATCGCCCTTAGAACCTTGGGACAAATCTCTCAACTGGATTCTCATGTCCGTCAGGCGACTCGCAAGGAGGGATTTTCATTCCAACGATCATTTAGACCGTGTTCGTTTGCGTTGTTCATCCCGTCCTCATCCCGTCCATCCACATCTTTTAGTTGAAGATTGTGCCATTTGCACTCGTATAAACATAGTCTAACTCCCACAAAAACCCTCCACCAGGATGGAACACGGATTTGGACATGGTTCTTGCGCCGGGATTCCTGTCCAGCTTGAACATGTTGAAATCATACAAGGTCATATCCAGAAAATGCAAACTATAGCAGCCTGATACCAAAGCGAACATTCACTGTGTCTTCATAAGCACCACATGCTACCCCCTTCTGACCCACCTCCCAGGCTGGGCCTCCGGACAGCCTCCTGCAACTCGGTGGGCGTCAGGATGCGCCCTGTGCACATCTCTGCACATCTTGGCAGGGCACAACATGACCTTAGGTACTACAGTAACTGGATTTTCCCAAATATTGTGTGAGATGACTTATTCTGATGACAAGGGCCTTAGGACCCCACACACTGGCCCTCAAACCAATTCCACTTGGCCCTTCGAAACCCCCCTGGTGCCTGTGAAGTTTGGTCTGCTTTCAGTGGCCACCCGCAGCCTCCGCTCCAACTCCTGCTCGAGAGCGGCTCGAGATCAACGACGGAGAACCATCCGAGAGAGAGAGAGAGAGAGCTGTGCACGGCGGCAATTCCAAAGAGATCAAAGAAAGGGGGGACCATTTTTCAAGGGGCATTCTGCATCATGGTCGCTGGAAAAAGAATATGCCCCCCACCAAATCCACCAGACCTCAGTTGGGCGCAGCATGTTGGAAGAAAACCTGCCAAGCTTGTTCTGGCTTTTCAATTATCAACTCAGACAATGTACACGTGAAAGCCTCCAGCTTTTTCACCCCTAGGCCCCTACATCCTGCAGCACATGGCCAATAGGACTTCCGCTCAGCAGCTTCGCGCCTGCGGGCCGATCCCAGGTTCCACACATCGGGAAGGGTTTTGAGCGATGCTTTTGGCGCACAAAGCAAGTTCAAAACCCTTGGCGGATCGAGGCATGGCATGCGGATCGCGTCTATCTGTTCACTCGTGACGAACGGTCAACCACCAAGTGATACTTTTGATACCCGAAACCGGATGTGTCGTGGTCCTTTTTTACATCTGTTTGTCGCAGATGTAACACAATACCAACACCATCCCTCCCAAGTCGTTCCCCTTGCTCGATCGCAACAGCCAATTCAGGCTGCTCACTGCTGCCATCGCACCTTCCATCGCTGCTGCCGCAGCGTCTTGATGGCCTGGGTGTCTTTTCTGGTCCGAGAGGCCGACAGGGTCGGTGATGCCGACTGGGCGAACTTCAGGGACTTCACGAACTTCATGTAGACTCTTGATGACCATTTGGATTGAAAAAGCCTCTTCAATCCTTTTCATCTGGGGGTTATGAATCAAGAGATATCAAGAGTCTACATTAGGCCCAGAGGATTTACACGGCACTTCGCCGTGTGGCAGTTGTTTTGTTTCTGTTTCTAAATTTACATTCAGCACAGATGAACATCTCAGCCTTGGCCTCCATTCACTTCCCTCGTGACACGTTCTGTTGGCAGCATGCGCAAACCGCTCACCTAATTACAGTATTATCAGGACATTCCGGATATTCATGATTCGGTCTGGTAAAATGGTTCTAGGTGATGATTACCAGGGTTTTTGAATCAAGAAGATCTGGATCATTAATGAGGATTGAAAAAACTATCCTCAACCAGAACCAGAGTCGCTCTGGGCCACCACACGCCCAGCGGCCTCCAATGCAAGGACCTGCGGTCGTGACTGGCATGTGTTGTCACCCGTATGTCGAGTTCGGAACTCTCTTTTCTCCCGAGCTCATCCGAGCTCCACGAATCCAAATGGATCAAATTGTGGAAGACTTTTCGATATTTGACCAAACCAGTGACCTATAGGAACCTCCAGTGGACTCATCTGCGAGATGCGAACCTTCACTTGTGACTCATTCCACCACTCGATTTCCGTGGCCAAGCCCTTTCCAAAAAATTAATGCAAGGACTGAAAAGTCTGAGCTCTGAACCAGCGCTTGGTAGCTGAGCACCTTGGCACAGTTATATGACTCCAATCAAATCCCTGGCTCGCATCACAGGCTGCTGACACAGGACTTCCTCTCTCTCTCTTCAACAATTCGATCCACCTTTGCAAAACTCAAGCTCCTAGGACTCCGCCAATGAACCTGTCCTAGCACTAACCTATTCACCGAAAGACGATAGAAGCTCAAGACCTTCGCCATGCCATACCACACCATTCCCATCCCCCTACAGAAAAAAGCAAGAGTCAAAAAACAAACACCAAACAATTCCTGGCACAAACCTATGAACATCTATGAACCTATTCCTTGTTTGGGCCTTCCAAAGGCCCCAAACCCGGTCTCACCGTCGCCTGCGGTGCCTCTCCGGGCGTCCCAGCGTCTCCAAGCTTCACCGCTCTCGCGGCGTCGGAGGCCCCGCACGTCTCCAGTCCGGCTGCCTCAGCGTCAGAGAGACTCCCTGGAATGGTCAAAACAGTCCAAACACCTATACCATCCTTCTTGTATCATGTTCAATCAGCCATCCTCTTGATGGCTGACTTGGACATGGTAAACCTGGGCTTGACTTGGACATGGCACCATCCTCCTTGCTAATCATTGAACATGGGTCTCCGAGCGTTTCAGGGGACGGGCCGCTCGGCCATCTCCACGGATTGTTCCCGGGAGTGTGCCATCCAAGTGCTCATCCGAACCGAAGAGAGGCTGTCCATGATGCAACATGCAGAGTCTGTCTGCAACAGCCTGCTGTCTCCAAGAATCGATTCAGAAACTGTGCTTGAAATTGTGTGGGTTTGGAGCGGTGTTCTCCCCTGGAAGGCTCACAGCTTGACTGGGAAGTGAGGCCAAGTAAGGCTTTGCATGAACGGCTGACTGCTCTGAACTGACAACGAAGCAGGATTAAATCAGTGTTTTTCCCTGGCTTTGCTGGGGTCTCTGTGTCTATGTTTCGTCTGAGCCACTCCCCAACCCACCGACTGCTCCTCAAGCCTCCCACCATGGCCGCTTGGGCCCGACGTCGCCAGATGCCACCGGCTGAACCATTGGCCACCTGCGAGCGACCGACGTGGCCACAGCATCCCGACGAGGGGTGCAGCGTCTAGCGGGCGTCACGCGAGTCACGCGAGTCACGCGAGTCACGCTATCGGCGCTGTCGAGCGCCAATGACCTGACCTGGTGGCTTTGGGATGATGTCCCGTGGCTGACCTGTGACCTGTGACAGTGCACAGGCTCGATGAAAACAACAAACACTAGAAACGTGAATTTCTCGCTTGGGTCAGGTGAACTATGCTGGCCAAGTTGGGGTCAAGTTACCATTCAGTGCTGTCCGAAATGTTGGAACGCTGTAGGGTTGGTTGACTATACAACCGATCGAGCCGCACATATGTCCATGCTTGCCCTTGTAGTACTCCATTGATCTGGAGTGAACAACCTCGCGGCGGGGATCTCTGGGAAATGGAAGACATGCATCCTATTGGATGTTCCGATTCTTCTGCGACATGGACGCCTCATCCAGCTAGATCATTTGCGCACTCCACTCACCTACCAGTCCTATGTCCATGGTCAGGATCGCCGACCACGATCCGGCCTCGCTGGCTTTGCCGTACAGGAGCCAGGCGTCGAAGTGTTTCTTCCGCTCTTCGGCTTGCTGGGCCAGCTCCAGGTAGGGCACCTCCAACGAATGCACATCAACATGGGGGTGCATAAGAATAGGGAGAACCCCTGGCCTAATGGGATAACCCCTGGCCTAATGGGTTTGGGCCTGTATATGTACCTTGGAAGTCAAGTCGACCATTTTTAAAATGGTTGATCTGGTTTTGTAGCGTAAAGCCCTTAGTCAAACAATGGCGGTTCGGTAGAGGCTATTAAAACAATGGTGGTTCGACTTCTAGGGTGTATATTATATATACATATACACGTGTGTGCGTGTGTGTGTGTGTCTATGCACACCCACATTGACATGGATATCATCGGGTAAACGTCACACTTCTTAAAATATGAACCTAATCCACCACCGGTGATCACCACTGTTTCTGATGTAACTTCACTTCAGCAATGCGCTCATGATTCAAAACTGAGGGAAAAACTTCAGTTGTGCCAGTGTTCAACATCCCAGTTCTGCAGTGCCAGCCTACCGATGCACCTAGTACCATGTTGTGTTTTCGTGTAGGGGGCAGAAGCAAATCTCTCGGAATGGATCGTTGATGATCTCGATCTCTCTCTCTCTCTCTCGCTCTTCTCTCTCTGTCCCACCACTTCTCGATCCGGCTCGATTGCGTTCGATCTCCACGCCCTTTCACAAAGAAAATCATACCACAATGAGACTCAACTGCATGTCAGAGCTCTGGGAGGCGTGGTCAGACTTCTACCCGTCCCAGTGTTCCGCCTGATTGGGTGAAGATGGCCAGCTGGGCCCACCGGGCACCTGAGCGCACGAACCGCCGCACGTCTGGGAAGTCTGTCGCCCCGCAGGAATGGACCTCTCCGCCATCCTGGGGGCTGGCCATCGGGACGACCACCAACGCTGCGGACGACCACGCGGTGGACTTCCTGGGATTTCACCAGAAACACCATGGATTGCACAGCGTCTTCAGATGCGGGGGGCCTTACTTGTTGATCAAGAGTCCACATCTTTTGGCCAATGTAAAGGATCATACTGAGCGGGTGGGGTTCGGGGAGCGACAGGTGCTGCCGGAATGTGTCGTCAGGTGGCACCAGCCTCCTACGTGCCCGGCCCCCCGACCGGGTTCCTCCTCGGGTCTCCCGGCCGGATGGGTCGGATCCGCCTGTGCCAAGATCTTCACCTCGAGGTCCACCGCCAGGGCCTTCGTGGATGGCAACACCAACCACCCCAACGAGGAGCCCCGGACCTTTTGGTTTGGGTCGGCTGCACCTCGTCGTTGGGGAGTCCGCTCTGCCTGAAAATCCTCAAAAAACCTGCCCTGAAGACTCATGGCTGGAGATTCTCCAGATTCATCCAGATTTGGATTCTCTAAATTCTTCCCCCTCATTGAGCCACAAACCCAGTTTTGCAGCTCTTCAGGTGATCTGGGCCCTAGTGGTTCGGATCTGTTCGGCTTGCCTGTCCAATCGGACAAACAGTGGCTCCAATGAACTGTCCCGAAGCCAACATGTTCTTATCAGGCATCCGTCCGCCTCAATCTCCCAAGAAACCGTGGGAATGCCCAAACACTTGGCCTTTTCCCCGTTTCCCATCTTTTAGCCACCTGGTCTATGAGATTCCATGGGAGAAATCGTGACGTCCAGCGGTTTTTCCGACCAAGGTAGGAAGATTAGGAAGTTCAATTGAGCGATTTCAATGTGATTCACTACGCCAACCACCGCAGAAAGCAAGCTGCACAGGTCTCGTGCCCCTTTTCATCTGAGGCCTTCAGGGATTGCACGGCGCCGGCAGCTCTGAAGTGGGCGTGATTGCTAGGCGCGGTTTCATCGAAGGGTCTGGTGTCAGGTCTTCGGACTTCTCACGCGCCAACATTGAGAATCAAGGTCATCCAAGAAAAGCTCCTGGTCCAATCAGAGTTGCACGTGTCAGCCGATATCGCAGGCTGAAGCACAGAACCCGGCACTTCCAGCCAGTGCTGAAGGGCCGACCTCGCTTCGCTCCGGAAAAGTGAGCAAACTCCAGCGGCACAGACAGTGCTGGGCTGCCCCGAAAAATCCGATGCATCGCAGGTGCTGCAGCGGCGCGATATCGCAGCCACCTGCTGCCATTCGCAGGTGCGGGCGCAGGCCTTGCTTGGCAAGCTGCGCTGAGAAGAGGATCTCTATCTCCTACATGAGGGGTTTGAACCCTCGATTCCGGTAGAGCAAGTTGGCAGCAAAAGCGGAAGAAGCACCGGGAACACCAAAGACTGGGTGGTCTTCTGAAAAGGCGATGCTGACAGAACAAAACGAAAACACCCTTGCCAAATGAACTCCTGCCAATTGAACTCTCGGATAGCTTCATTAGCCGGATAGGGTTGGACCCTCCACCTTACACACAACGATTTGAAGCTCTATCCATCCACCTTTCCAAAACCGATTTCCAAAGCCGAAGAACCGCTTTGGCCAGCCAACAGCCTCCCTGGAAACCCCCGGAGGAAAAAGCGACCTTCAGGCCCAAAGTGCAAAGGAACGTCGTCCTTCATACGAAGGAGAAAAAATGGCATTGGCCAATCCTGGAAGTTCAAGGGGCACCGGGTGCTAAGCTAATGCATCTGCGCTTTCCCCCTTAAACATGTTGAGCTCAACACAGGCACTACTTCGAGACATGGGTCACGCATCGGCATGTGGGAGCACCGGAGGTGCCAAAACGGCTGAGACATGAAGTTCCAGGTCACTCGTTGCATTAGTCGAATTGGTTGGCACCCTGGAGAAGGCCTGTTTGCATAGACATCCAGCCAACCCAGGAGAAAATGATGCACCGAATTCCGCGCGCAGGACCTAGAACCTATTCGTGCACCAGACTGTTGATAGGCTGGCAGCATAGCACCGCCCAAAGACAGAGGTCATTGAGACTCTTCAGAAAAGCTGGTGATCATCAAGATGCAGAAGTGACAGTTCTGGAGCCAAAGTGAGGTTCATGAGCCAAAATAAGCTTCATGAGCCAAAGTGAGCTTCATGAGCCAAATGACTCAAAAGATTTGGAGGACTTTCCCTCTCTGAGGTCCCTGCCACTGGAATGGGTTGCAGGATTTGCTGTGGCGGGCAGTCATTTTGTATATACGAAAGAACCACTTGACCTAAAGGACGGGGGTTCTCGGGAACTTCACTTGTCTCTACCTGGTCGTCTTCGTTTTTGCGACATGTTACGTTCCGACGCGGGGGGCTTCAGGGGGGCTTCAGGGGGATTTTCTGAGCTTCGGTGTCGACGTTGTGTTGCACCTGCCAGGTATGATGGACCTGTGGCACTTCGTTTCGAAGCACTTCGTTTTCGACTTCGTTGTTTCGGCTTCATGGTTGCTTCGGCACCTGGTGTCCGACCACGTGAGAACTAGGGTGGCACCAGGCTGCACGATGTCTCCGGAATACAATATGCGATTACCACCTGGGTCAAGGAATATTCCATTGAGTCTTCATGTGATTACCACCGCGGTCGATGAACTATCCATTGAGTTGATCTACTTGCGCTCGGCATTCCATCCATACAGGGCATTATTGCATGGAAAGAAGGACCCTTTGCCTGTTAGACATTAGCATAATATATATTATAATATATTACTGTCTGTCTACGATATCCCCGTGGTCGCCTCTATGATAAGGTTCCCTTTCCTGTCCTCTGATTGTTTGCAAACAAGTACGGGGCAACCGAGAAACCTGTGTTATTGACCCTTGACCTACCCTTGCTTCAAACAGGTGTGGTCGAGGTGAAAACGAGATGGCACCCACGACTCAGTCAGGCCGAGAGTCGTTTGGCCCTTGTGAGAATTGTGATATTTACAGTGTGCAATGGAAAACTATGGTGTGGAGCACATTCTAAAGATTCTCGTGCAAATGTCAAAAATGCTCACAACAGAAGTCCAAGCAGTTAGCATCCATCCGACACATTTTCACCTCATCATCGAGCTTTGCAAACACACTCAACATGCGTGAACACCTGAGAAGCTGCAAAACGAAAGCCAGCGCTTTTGTGGGGCTGATTCGCAGTGCAAAGCCGGGAAGAAGCTATTTCCACTGTCTGTGAAGCCTGATGCGCGCCATACCTGGGAACAGAATTGTAGCTACAAGACCTTTATTTTCAAGGTGGCCTGAACAGAGTGTTTTAGGGCAGCAAACCGTGGTCTCAGGCCACCTTGAATTTAGCTTGAAAACCACAGCTACA